ACTGCAAAATGCCATGAATTATGATTATTATTGGACCTCGTGATGTCCACTACAGTTGAGGAAAAACGTGGAAACAAGTGACAATATGGGCTTGGCTCCTGCACAATGGCAAGCTTATCTCAGCAATCAGCCCCGCCATGCGGTTCACGCTTGTTGTACCAGTGCTGGCCTTCTCGTGCCCGCACTACATCCCATGTGGGGACGCATTCGGTCGTTTCTCGTACAGTAGTAAATTACAATAAAAACAGCTTGTCCTAACAACCCTTGTCAACGCTTGCAATCGTTCAGTTCACACGTGGCCGATTAGGATGGCAACATATCTCACGAACACCCAGTACGTGCCAGGCTCAGGGACACAGGCACCAAGGATACGTTGTTTTTTGAAAGCTTTCCAATGAAGGTCAAAAGTATGTATGCATTAGCTTTGTCCGTCTATCAATTGGGGGCGGGGGGAAACAAACAAACTACAGTAAAGATAATCTAATGTGAACAAAACTTTAGCAGAAAGGAAATTGATCAAAGAGTTGCTTGAACCCTCCCCGGCTGAGCTGCTATACAAGCCCCATTGTGTCATCGTGGGCCAGCGTGTGGGAAAGCGTGCATAATCCACACGTATGCCTGATTTTTCTTCTTTGTTTTTGCAATACGGGTTCACACACAAACACACACGGGCATCCCTTTGCGTGCAGCAGGGGAACCAGAGTGACCTCAATTTTAGACAGCTTCGAGCCATCACATTCATCACCGCTTTTGCAAGACCCCAGCTTAACTGACGTTATCAAGGCAAAAAGGGGACTTGGCCTCGTGACCTTCACATTGAGGCAGCTGTTATTTCTGGGGAGGGGAGAAATTCCACGCTCCCATTTCACATCTAGGTTCGGACACCAGCATGGACAATGGCGCGGAGCACTGACCCAGGCGGCTGAGCCGTTGTGAACAGAACCGGCGGGCGGGCAGCAGGCCCAGTGAGAGATAACGCTCAACACGTCCGCCCAAAAACTAAACACCACCGAGGCAAACGGTATCGACACAAGACCATACGCACGCACACAGACAAAAATCCACCCTTTAGCCTTGACAGACTGTCGGGACAAGCGCTGTGAGCGAGCACCGAATAAGGCCGTCAAGGCACACGAGGGGGTGGCCAGCACCATGCCTCGTGGTGATGTTTAGACAACGCACTGGGTACTCATTTTAAAAACTGTGTGAAACTAGGGGTGGCCCAGGCTCGGAAATTCGTCACCTATGTTGGCCGTGAGCAGGAATCGAACTCGGGTTGGCGGGTTAGTGGCACTAACCGTTGCACTACCACTTCCCACACCAGTACACACACACAAACATACACACAGAGGTTTTTTGGGTTAGATCACGTAAATATGTCGTTAAACCCGCCACCACCTGATGCAGCCAATTAGTAAGCTTTGTCACATAAACAATACATGCTAATTCGTTACTAGTACAGCACACCGGTGTGTTGGAGAGTAAACTCATAACATTTACAATTCGAGTACGATGTATCGCCAGTCATTACAACTCCCATCATCAGGCGACAGCCACATTTGTGAATACATCTTCCTGTTTCGTTCTTAAATAGGGGGATATATGTGATGTCTTCACTTGTGAGCCAACCAGGTGCTGAGGCCAGACAGGGGGGGGGGGGGGGAACATACACACCTTGGCAATATATTGTGTGGCTAGACAATAATACAACACATACAGATTACAGTATTTCTGCTACCAGTTCATGTTCGCTAATCGCATTTGGATGGCACGGGGCCTTATTAAGGTCACACTCGGGGACATCGCGTTGCCTGCGATGTAATCCACTTATCAGAAGAGTAAGGCAACGAACCCACACACAACACACACCAGAAATGCACGACATGTGCATTATTGGCAATGTGCTGATTTTGAGTCGATGATAGTGGTGCCAAGCGTGTGGACTGCACTCACTGAGTGGCACTCGAACATGAGAGAATGATGGGTGTTTAACAATTACAATGCTGTGTTTTTTTCCACTGAGGCCTTGGATGAGTCTCGAGACTATCTTTTCGGAGGGTCCTGCAATAAAACATTGTTTGTTTCCGTAAACTGGGACAGTAATTTTGTGCTGTGACACTTTTTTTTTACAACGCAGAGTGTCAATAATCTTAACACCCATCCACTAAGTTGAGAATTTACAGCCATCTGTCAGGGCACTGAAGAGCTTATCAAGCAACGTGGTTATGGGCTTTTTTTTTACCATACTTCAAAACATTGTTCGTTGCAGGTTATTGATGGGGGGGGAGGCCAAAGATAATTTCAGATTCCACCCGCCACCTGATGTTGGCCGTGACCCGGAATAGAACTCAAGATAGTTAGGTTCATATGAAAGTGTGATCACTGCTGCGCCGCTGCTCCCCGAGTCCATCAATATATATTCGAGAGGCATTGCAAGACCAGACACTTTCAAAAGACAGTCGAGTACACAACAGGAATCGTAAAACACAATCCTGAGTACAGTACATTTGTTTGTCAGTACAGCCCTTGTCAATCCACTGATGGGTGAGGGCCTCCACACACCGCGGGTGTTGTGGGATTTATACGATGAAACGTAAAATCATCACTTTGGTGAGCAGGTAGGTCAAGGTGGGGAAGCGTGGATGTGGCAGTAAAGAAGTACAGTAAAACATGTTGCTGCAATGCTCTTTGCTGCCCACCTTGTAGCCCAGCGGCCTGTAACAACCTGCTGTACAGAGTGGGCACCCATTTAAGCAATTATCCAAGCTCAATCCTGATCTTCTTCCGATATCCAATTGGATCAGGCACATTCCTAGCGATTTGGTCATATCATTTAATGAGCGTGTTACAAGGGCCCTCACTAATTTTAACTCCCGTGGCCGATTAACCAGTTCATTTACGGGTCACTCTAAATACTGGCGGTGATATAACTGTAATAATGACACTACTAATAACGGTGTCCAAAGCGTGGCTTAGTTGGTGGAAGAGCATGAATCGTGAGATTAAAAGTTCAAATTCAGGCCAGGGTCAACGTGGTTCATCATTAACCATCACGATCATCGCCATCATGAACATCAACATCCTTCTAAAGTACTAGCATTGAGCACTATCTTGTGTACTTTCACAGTGGTTGTGCTATTGCAATGTGTCGCTTTTAGCACAGACACCTACAATAGAGATTTACACGCAAATGAAGATGGGGGCAACTTAGGCGTTTCTAACCTTTCCAACTGAAGTTAAAAGCATCTTATCATCATCGCTGTCCGTCGGAAAACAGGGGGTGGGGGGGCTGTAACTGTTATTTAAATGATCCAAATGTGAATTCAACTTTAGTATGAAGTGTGGGACTTGTCCCATTGTAAACGCGACAAATTTATTTAAACCTTTGAGACAAACCAGGATTAAAATGAATATTTAAAACATGAAAACGTAATTGGCTTCAACAGCTACCCGTCGGCTACAATACAGTACTTCCCATAACAAATGCATGTCGCAAGGCTTTACATAATCCATGTGCAGGAATGATATTGGTAACTTTAATTATGATCATCATGATTACTGCGAATGGAGGCGAGAGATCTGAACCATGAGAGACGTTAGGAAGCTGGCAAAGCAGAACTGAAGGAGCCAGGATGACAGAAGATGATCTGTACACAAGGAGATGAAACAAGACTGGCTCCTGTATACATGCGGGCATGGGGACTTAGTTGGTGTTATGTTGGTCTCCGATGAAAACCAAACTTAATGTATGTACTAAAGTCGAGCTTTACATACCCTATCGTCAATCCAATCCAGCATCCACACCGCATTGATCACGGGAGTCGTTTGACAAGACTTCATCACGCCCAAAGGAGTCGCTGCCAAGTTTGCAGATGTTGCAATTGCACGGGGGGGGGGGGGTCTATAGGCTGGAGGCACAAGCACCCGACTACAAAGAAAAAATTATGGACATTGGTACAAGGAGTGCCCATTTTCATTCTTTGCACCAGGATCCATGGGAGCCATGTCGTCCCACTGACCACGCTGGTCAGTGTGTTGGCAAAGAGTTTCTCCAGGGCCAGGAGCGGTTCAGATATCACCCGTGGTCAAGAATCAAACTCGGTACAGCCAGGGTCGTATCGCACCGTGTGCTAACCCCTGCGCCACCGCCCAAGGTCAAAAAAACCGGTGGGAGTTGATGAAATGAGGACTTTGAGCAGACTGACGACGGGAAGATCGGAAGATATACAGTAATATGCCCAGATCACTGATTGGTAAGAGTTGCAAATGATGATGAGTATGCCTGCTGCTGATGATAGTTCATAAATTCCGTTAATTATGATGGGTATGAGCATATTTGATAAATTTTGCTGCTGCTATTACTACACATTATTAAGGGAAGATGAAGAAGGAGCAATACAAATATAATTTTAAGCAGATACCGATTAGGGTGATGAGTATGATACTGCTGCTGACGATCAAGTTGCTGCAAACGATATTAATTAAACTGCCACTAATTCGTGATGAGAATAACGTTTTTGTTCATGGATTGTTACTGGCATTACTGGAAATGGTGCTACTACATTGATGATGAAGCTGATGACAATGCAACTGCTGCTGATGAATTTGATGCAATCGATGATGTCGATGACCATGACGATTAAACTAAGCTCATGATAACTGGCTTTCTGATCAATTGTTCCCGTCAAACTTTCAGATGTTGCTGCGAAAATACCGCTGCTCCTGATGCCTCTTAAATTAACGAAATTCGAAAAGTATTCGCCACATTCACTCAATTGAGTTTATGCATCGCAATCAGACTCATTTCCCGGTTTATATTCAAGTCTTGCGTATGGCAATATGCCCATGAGCTAATTGCCCCAGGTCACTCTTGCGAATGACTCATCCTGGTCTCTTGAATTCGCACCTGGTTAAACTAAAAAATATGAATACTTGCAACTTGAAGAACAACACCGCCACACCACCTGGAAATCACTCTCGCACACACACCCTACATATACCTTCAAAATCCGACTCGTCGTCGTCGTCATCATCATCATCACCGTCCTCATCACGGTCCACCGAGCCCCTTGGCACGAAGTTGACCAGCGACGCCAGAAGCCCTCCGCCACCTCCTCGGCCATCGGCAGGCGGGGACGAAGACCCGGGGGACGATGCGGATGACTCGCGGGAGCCAGGCGGAGAACCCGGGGCCACCAGAGGAGGGGAGACCAGGTCATCTACTTGCTGCTGCTGCTTCTGATGCAGATGCGGTCTCCCATCTCGGCCCTGCGGTCCCAGCCGCGCCGCCTTGAGCTGGACAAAATAGTCCGCGGCGAAGGAGACGATGTCCGCCGGTCTCTTGCGGAGGACTTCCACAGTGAAGGTCTGCAGCAGCTCCGTGAGTCCGTCCGGTATCTGTATATTCATCACCTATGGGAGTTCGGTGCAGCCCGCTGCCCTGCTGATGTTGCTGCTGATGTTGTTGCTGTTACTGCCGCTGTTATTGCTGCCGTCGTATGTATTGTCAATAATTGTGATTGTCAATAATGTGTGATGGGTAGACAAATGGACGTTGTTGCTGTATTGTATTGAGAGGCCGGCTATGGTCTCTTAGAAGTTCATCACCGACACACGCACAGAGCAGTGCGGCAATGGTAGTGAGGGTAATTATTGCAGATGCGTTGAAAGTCAAGAGTTCGGGTTATCTCTCAAGCCTGTTAACCTACACGATGTTGTATTATGTGAATTATAACTGTAAATAATTATAAACGTATTGCAACTCAAGATACTACACGTGTGCTACTGCTTACACGACTGTCTGTCGGTGTTATTATTGTGAACGCATTGATAGTTATTACAATTATTGCAAACACCGGTTATATATTACGTCAAACATGAATTATGTAATCTATATATGCACCACCTATAATCAGTGCTGCTGCTTTACAGAGCCTGCCAATGATGCTATCGTTATGGTTAATATACTAGCTATATTAAAAATAATGCTAATAATTATAATCGCCTTACAATTTAGACGCGCACCCTCTCCCTTGCTATGTACGAGAGTTCTTCTTATAACCTTGTTACCGCACCGCTGACAATAATAGAACGACAAAGCGCTCGCAATGCTACAGCGTTGTGAGCGCGATGCTTAGCATTATTTCGCTGCCGGTAACGCCGTAAGGTTATCTGCAATCGTTAATTGTGATTTAATTTAAGCGCTCGTCTTGGTTTGTTGTGAGCGACCCCCGCCGCCGCAGACGCCGCTCGAGTGAAGCCGTCGGAGCCGTCCCCGCGCTCCCAGACTACCCCGAGCGAGGGGGTGAGGAGGGGCCGTCACGGGGCCCTGAGAGGAGACGTCACTCCACACCGTGAGCACTTAGCCGGCCATCTTACATGGGGAGTCGATGCCTCTTTCTCCCCCAACCCCTCCTGTTCGTTGTTGTGACGGCCATCCTACGTGAGGAATCGATGTGTCTCTCTCTCCCCCCCCCCACTTGTTATGACGGCCAACTTACGTGGGGAGTCGGTGTCTCAAATACCCATCTCGTTCTGTGACGGCCATCTTACGTGGGGATGTCAATGTGTCGCTCTCCCCCCCACCTCTCCTGTTCGTTGTGACGGCCATCTTATGTGAGTAGTCGATGTCTCCGCCCCCAATTGTTAGTAATAAGTTATGGCCATCTTACGTGGGGAGACAACGTGTGTCTTTCCACCCACCCCTCAAGTTCGTTGTTGTAACGGACATCTTACGTGAGGAGTCAATGTCTCTGTCTCCTCCATCTTCCCCATTTCGTTATGATGGCCATCTTACATGAGAGAAAGTCAAGCAAACTCGGATTACATTGTAGCGGGCATCTTGCGTGAGGAACGTTCGTGTTTTTTAAAAGTTTTCCTTTGCATTTTGACGGCCATCTTACGTGAGGAAATTGTCTATTTTTTACCGCAAAGACCATCTTGCGTGAGTGGAACGTTCACATTCGTTTAAATATTACTTTAAGAAAATGTCCCATTAATTAAAATTTTAACGCAGGCTTCAACGGGTTGTTGTTGTTTGGTGCGTTATGTGAATGTTACCGATTTTTTCCCCCTGAGTAAGATAGCCGCACGAGCCACAGACTTGCAAGCAATATTCCGCAGCCCCAACACTACGAGATGAAATATTTTGCATATCCCACGACATATACACATGTGTAGAGAAGTTACCGACGGACGTACTCGGAGACGGAGGTAAGTTAGGGGCTTCCGCCAGGGTTTATTACTCTTGGTCAAAACTACACAGGGTACACAACTCCCAGGGGCTAGGGGTCCTACTCTGAGTCTGGGTCCCTGCCGGCTAGCTCCGGTCTCTCTCTCGTGTCGGATCGTGGAGTCTGCCGACTCCACCGACCGGAGAGAGAAGCACCTCTTCGGCTACCACCGGCTTCTCCCCAGACTCCCTATTTGATCCCTCTCACTATCCCTGGTTCCCTCTTCACCCTGTTTACTATCCCCGTTCCTATAGTGACCCCGCTTACGTTACGGGGTCTCCCTTATATACCCTCAGAGGGGTGATGTCACGTGCACTGCCCAGCGCGTGCGACCCCACGTCCCGTGAGGTCACCGCACCGGACAGCGCACACGACGCCACCACTCTCCACTACTCCTCTACATCACCCCCCCCTGTGAAAAAAATTCAGCCGACTCGGCTGTAAACAATATAAAAGTAGAGGAGTCCCAGAACCACAAACCAACATATTCACAACCAACCGACAACATCCAGGCAGCATGACAACAATCAATCAAATTTCAAAACTTTGAAACTCTCATCACGCGCTGCCATCAATACAAAGGCGGAATCCCGATGGCCCAGACAACACACACCAACAAACAACAATTGAACAATTGAGCAGCCCAGACAAAACACACCAAAACGGACAATTGGGCAGTCTTAGACAAAACACGCCAACATAACACAATTGAGCGATGAGGGCTGGAGGCCGACGGCAGCGTTTCCACAGGCCATCAACAGAGCGCACGCCTCCCCATGTGGCACGAATCGCCAGGGCAGGCACCGTGCCAGCTAGTGACAGGCCCCGGGAGAGCCGCAGCAGCCCAGCAGCCCAACGCAGCTCCTGCCAGGCGCGCGCCGGCCCGAGCGGCGGCTCCTGCTGCCCATGCCGCGGCAAGATGCAGAGCCGCGGCGTCGGCATGGCAACGCCCAGGCACCGCGAGGTGCGGGGCCGCGTCGTCGCCGGCGGCCCCCACCGCGATCGCTGCAGGTAAAATAGCAGCCTGGTGCGGCGTCGCCGGCGGCAAACCCCGCATGCACAGCGAGGTGCGGTGCCCCGGCGTGACCCTCGGCCCACCCCGCGGCCGCGGCAACTATAGCAGCCGCGGTGGCGGGCGCGCCAAACCCCGCAGGCACGGCGATGCTCGGAACCGCGGCAACTTCCGCGGCGCGGCATCGTGAGGAGCCGCGGCAGCGATGCACGGGGCCACGGCGACACCCGCAGCGTACCCCGCCAGCGCGGCGATGGCCGGAACCACGGCGGCACCCTCGGCAACTCCCGTGGTGCGGCGAGGTGTGGAGCCCCGGACGTACCTGGGGCTCCCCCGGCGGGCGCAGCATGGTGCGGAGCTGTGGCATCGCCGCTGGCAGACCCCGCGCGCGCGGTGTGGCACGAAGTCGCGGCGGCACCCACGGTGGACAACGGCGTCGCAGTTGCCATGGCAGCCATGGCGCCGACGTGCGGCGTCGCATGAACAATGGCCGCCACCTGCAGCGTCGCAGTTAAAATGGCGGCCGCCTGAGGCGCCCCAACCAACATGGCCGCCGCTGGCGACGTCGCAGGCAAAATAGCCAGCTGGGGCGTCGCGGCGAAGATGGCGGCCGCCTCTCGCGGCGTCCCGGCAGTTGACAGTTGCTCCCATCCCGAGTGCGGACCGGGAGGACCCAACTTCGCCTCCGCGATGTCGAGACGGGCGCAGAGCTGCGCGATCGCCTGCAGGAGCTGCCTCAGCAGGTCTGCAGGGGTGCTCCCTGTCTCCAGCGGTGGTGGCGGCGAGCTGGCACCCCCGCCCGTCGTCTTCTCGGGGCCTGTCACCGGAGCCCCGGACTCCGGGGTCACTGCCGAAGCCTCCTCCCCGCCGTCTTCATCCTCCGATCGTCCCGTCGCTGGGTTCTTGCGCTCCGCTCCCGATGTAAACATTGTAGCAGCAGTGCAGACACTCTGACACCAGTTGTAGAGAAGTTACCGACGGACGTACTCGGAGACGGAGGTAAGTTAGGGGCTTCCGCCAGGGTTTATTACTCTTGGTCAAAACTACACAGGGTACACAACTCCCAGGGGCTAGGGGTCCTACTCTGAGTCTGGGTCCCTGCCGGCTAGCTCCGGTCTCTCTCTCGTGTCGGATCGTGGAGTCTGCCGACTCCACCGACCGGAGAGAGAAGCACCTCTTCGGCTACCACCGGCTTCTCCCCAGACTCCCTATTTGATCCCTCTCACTATCCCTGGTTCCCTCTTCACCCTGTTTACTATCCCCGTTCCTATAGTGACCCCGCTTACGTTACGGGGTCTCCCTTATATACCCTCAGAGGGGTGATGTCACGTGCACTGCCCAGCGCGTGCGACCCCACGTCCCGTGAGGTCACCGCACCGGACAGCGCACACGACGCCACCACTCTCCACTACTCCTCTACACATGTAACAACTTTGACGACGATGTAATAAGAGCCACTTTATTGGGGCGCAGCAGCAATTCTGCACCCTTAGCTTCGACCTTGTCTGTAGCTTGTAACTTCCTTCAAACGTCCCCGCTCCTCGTACTCTCGCTCCCCTCGAGCCCCCTTTCTGGAACCTTCTGTCACCGTTGTTTCCCCCTCGCCAATCCCTGACCCCCCCCCCCCAACAGGATCCCAACCGTCGCCTCTGGGATCCTCTCTGTTCCCCGCCTTAATATCATTCAAATCTTATTCCTCCAATCCCTTTAACAGTCTGCCTTCCCGGCCAATCGCCGTGGAGGCCTCTCTCTACCAATCGGAGACCTTGGGGGTTTTTTTGACTTGGAGTGAGTGGTTGCTTATTTAGGTCATTACACGTAACATTGTTAATTGAAAACCAACAACTGCTCTGGAGTGGAAGAGCAGGCCTAACACGAGCTCTCTTGCTCGTTCTAGTGGCGTGAGCAAGCAGGGCTGCACCTATTTACACACCTGATGGACACCGAATAACGATAACACTTATTAACACATTTTATAATGATAACATAACACACTTAAGGTTATCCCCATGATAATGATTTGTTTTGATATATGCCCAGCTATATTCATAGGCTCCTCAAAGCGATTTGCATTTTATCTCATCTCAACACATTTCAGAATCTGAATATGGGGCCGTCCATAAATGACGTCACGCGATTTTGGACGATTTTTGACCCCCCCCCCCCCCCCCCCTAGTCACACGGCGTCACAAAAAGTCAGACCCCCCCCCCCCCCTCAAATATGACGTCACAAAGCTCTGCCCTCCCCCAAAACCATATTTTGATTTTGGAAATAAAACAATGCTTTAAATCGCTTTAAACTATTGTCATTGTAGTGCGTATTTAATGTGGCGCTGCACTCTGATGTTGTAGGAGTGTTATAACAATTAGTGTTGTTATAACAATTCTATGTTTATTTAAATTTGCGCATTTTAATGTGACGTCACATTTCTCAAACCCCCCCCCCCCCCCGTCACAAAAATATGACCCCCCCTCCTAGGTGCGTGACGTCATTTATGGACGGCCCCTATTTATTTATCCTGGTGGAACCTGATGAGTTATAAAGCTCGTTTTCACAGATGTCTAGTAGGGGCAGGTCACAACGAACAAACATTACAAAACACGATAGGAGTGCAAAGTATAGAAAGGTAAACAAATATATATTAATAAAACGAAACTATTTTCTTCGTATCTTACCAGGTGAAGCCCATTGAGCTATTCGTTTTTTCAGAAGCGACCCAGCCACAAATGATCGCTCAACGAAGTGGCTAATCACGTGGACATTTATAGCAGGAAAATAATAAAAATAATTTTAACACATATTCTTTGGGTCTTTCCGTAAAGTCACGTTACCGAAAGACCCAAAGAATATTAATTCCTGCAGTCACGAAAGCTGTGAATCAAGATTTAATTTAAACCCATGTTTCTAAATGTTGAAAGGAAAACCAGAGGACCTGGAGAAAAATTGCACATGACCAAGGTGACATTTACCTGGCCTGCAAGCAGGCATTAGTTTGCCAGTGTTCAATGATTGTGTGAGGCCCGACGTCCACCCCACCGCCCTCACTAGGCA